GGATGTGCACAGGGGATGTGTAACAGGGGTGTGCCTCAAACACAGAGAGAAGAAAGGAGAAAGAAGTCTAAGAAGGACAAGCAGAGTGGAGAGTGCCCTGGGCTTGGATCCAGAAGCTCTGCTGCTACATGCCACTTGCTCCTGGCGGTGGGTCCCCGGGCACGCGCCTTCCCTCCCGGGTCCCTCTCTCCTGTCTTGAAGCAGGTGGGCTGCTCTCTACAGTGGGGATGCCACAGAGGACCGTCAGCCTTTCCCAATCCCCTGCGCACAGGTCCAGGGACAGGCCAGGCTGAGAGTCAGGGTCGCCCTGGGCAGAGAAACCCAGTGTCCTCACTGGATCCTGCCTGGAGGAAAATCCCCCTGCTCATGCACGTGGCTTTGGGACGCTATGGGCGCCGACCCTGGGGACCAGGCTTCCCTTGGCAAGATTTCCAGGCTGTTTGCTCCCGACGGCCTGAGGCTCCGTCTGTGGAGCTTCCCTTCCCCACGCTGCCATGCGTGCTCCCAGTGTGACGTCACCCGGCCACACAGCGCTGAGTCACACCCATACCCCGACAGCCCCTGAATTCACAGCCCCAGCTCCCGGCTGTGCTCTGAACTGCGGGCTTACACAGCCACTGCGGACCCTGCTTCTGCACCTCGCTGTCTGCAAGGCCCTCAGACGCAGCAGGCCAAGCTGGGAATCCTGACTCACCTCCCCGCCCCGGAGCCTGCCGGTGGGCTCCCCATCCACAAAGGGCAGCTCAGGTCCCCAACGGTGTCACCTTTCACTCTTCCTGTCACCCATCCCCAAGTCCACAGGCTAAGAGCGCCACGTGCAACCCTGCGCCATCATGCCAACTCCACTGCGAAAGCCCTGGCCCAGGGCAACTTGTCATGGCCTGGACCACTGATCTAGCCTCCTAACTGGCCTCTTTGCTGCCCCCTGGGTCTCTCTCCAGCCCTTTTGGCCACAACCAGGGGTGGGCAGGTCCCTTCTTGGCTCAGAACCCTACCCGTCTCCCTGAGCAGGGGTTGAAGTCCCCCGTGGTCTCCCAGGCCCTAGGCCCCCTGACCCCTGCTACGTCTGTGCTTTCCCTCTGCTCCTCTTCAGCAGCCTGGCCTTCTCGCTGCTGCTGGAAGAAGCTGCACCTGCTCCCACTTGGGAATTCCTGCTCCGGGCACCCTCTTCCTGGGGATAGCTGCACGGCTCCGTCCCTTCCTTCTAGAAACTGCTGTGCCTGTTGCTTCCTGTGAGCCTGTGCCGCTACCCATGACCTCTCTCCTGCTCTTTTGATCTTCATGGCTCTTCCCACCATTTAACATATTATTTAGGGGCCGGTGCTGTGATGCAGAGGATTAATGCCCTGGCCTGCGGCACCAGCATCCCATATGGGCGCCGTTCTAGTCCCGGCTGCTCCTCTTCCGATCCACTCTCTGCTGTGGCCTGGGAAGGCAGTAGAAGATGGCCCAAATCCTTGGGCCCCTGCACCAACTTGGGAGACCTGGAAGAGGCTCCTGGCCCCTGGCTTTGGATCGGCACAGCTCTGGCCATTGCTGCCAATCGGGGAGTGAACCATCAGATGGAAGACCTCTCTCTCTCTCTCTCTCTCTCTCTCTGTCTCTCTGTAACTCTGACCTTCAAATAAATAAATAAATAAATTTTTTAAAGCCTTTGTTTTAAAAAAAAACATATTATTTATTCATTTGTCTGTCTCCTCTGACAACGTCAGCTCCAGGACACCCAGGAGACGGCTCGTCCCTGATCCACTCCAGGCACCTACAAGGGTGCCAGTATGTGGCGAGTGCTTGGTCAATATTTGCTGACTGAATGAGTTGAATGCTAGCAGCCTGGTGTCGGGACTGTCTAAAACACACAACAGGGACCATGGTGGTCCCTTGCAGATAACCTGGCGGGGACACTGGTACAGCTTCAGGCTTTACCCTGCCTCAAGGTGCCCATGGCCTCAAGGTGCCCATGCACCCTGCGATGCCCCCACCAAGGTGCCGGGCACTGAGTGGGCACCTTAGCTCATGCCCTCTCCGCACGCTGCCCCACAGGTTGTGTTGCAGGATTCACAAAACCAGGATATCGCCAATTTCAGCCAGGGGAACCGAGGCTGGGCGAGGATAGATGGTGTGCAAATGATGTGGCTCCCTGTGCTCCAAAGCCCTCGCCACCTCCCTCTGCGGGGCTGTTTGTGAAAACCTCACAGATCAAGCCAGGGTCTTCAGGACTGGTTCCCAGTGAGACCTGTGAGTCCCCCCCGCCCCGCCCCACGGGCTGGGTCTTAGCCACTCCCTCACCCTTTCTGAGGGGAGAGGGAAGGGCCAGCCTGGGGGGAAGTCCTGAGAACCAAGCGGGCTCTGGGAGAGCTCAAGAAGCCCCTCCCCGGGGGTCTGGTGGACTGCGGGGGAAGCCCCCAGGCGCAGGGGCCAGCGAACAGCTGGAGCTTTGCTGGCTGCCCAGGGCTCTGCGAGAGCCCGGGCTCCTGCTGCTGTCACCCTCACTGCACTAAGTGCTCAGCCTGTGGTTGGATGCCCTCTGCCAGGCACTCCCACAGGCCACGATCGTACGCTGAAGGTTGAGATCAGCTCTCAGATGCCAGCTCTTGGGCAGTCACACTCTGTGCTAGGCCCGAGGACGCAGAGGAGGGGCAGCCAGGACGTTCACCGGCCAATAAGGCGCTGCCGCAGAGGGAACTCTTGACCTGAGTCCTGGGTGAGGAGGAGACTGGGCTCCACCCGGTCCTTTTGTGCAGTCGCGTTTAAGGTCTCGCAAACCCTTCACCTGCGGGACTTCACGGGGTCCTCACAGCATCCCTCTAACGTACGTGGTCTTGTCGGCTGACAAGTGAGGAAACGGGTTCGGAGAGAAATGACTCATGAAGCCACTCCCTTGATTCCCTGTCCTCAGAGCTCAGCCAGAGACAGACCAGGGTTTCATCGCACAGGCTAATGCCACTGGGGAATGCCTGCTTGTGTTTACAGTCTGAGGTTGCATCCAGGCTTGGGGGAGAGCGTGCTGAATTGGATTAGTGATGCCTGCTGTGGGCACAGAGATGCTGACGTGTGGAGTGTGTCCCATCATTTGTCCTCCTTGCCCTCGAGTTCCTCCTTCTGTTAACCAAGTCTGCAAAGGTAACTGTTAGGACGAGCAGGGCAGGAAAGAGGAGTAGGGCTGAACCCCAGATGCACCTCGAGTCCCCAGCCTTTTCCACTTCCCATTCTCCACCACTGAAGACCTGGATAATGCTGAGCTGTGTAGGTAGAAGGTGGCCAAAGGACAAGACTCTCCAGATCTGAGCATCAAAGATGAGGGTGGGGTTACTGTTGCCATTTTAGAGATGAGCACATCAAGGTTTCTAGAAGGCACTTACTCCAATCACAAGGTTGCACTTGAACTTGAGCAGTGTCGACTGACTCCACCACCCCGACTCCCAGGGAAGCCCAGCCCACCCAGAGGCCCTCCCCGGCTGTGATTCCCTGCCAGCCCAGGGACAGCCCGCATGCCTCCATGAGCTTGGCAGGGACTTCTCCACGGACGACCGGGTGCTACCTCCTGCCCTCTGCCATGGCTCCAAAGCCCCTTCTTCCCCAGATCTGTCCCCAGGGGCCAGAGGGAGATGGGTGGTCCCTCACCTCCCAGGAAGTATAGGGAGCTGCTGTCTGCAGGTGATGAAGAAGAGGTTGTGAGGCATCTGTTCCAGGAGCCTGGTTCCTGCGGAGATCTGGGGGAGTCCTGGGCTGCCCTGCCCAGCTGGGGGCAGAAGGAGGAGGCCCCACATCTCCAGTTCCTGGGGAGCCAGGCTGGCCCTCCCCACCCCCTCAGCACGCAAGGCAGGACTGGAGATGGGCTCACAGCCTGGCACCTGCTGGCCAATGATTCCACTTCCCTCTGGAAAGTACCGGATCACAAAGCTTGCAGGGTTCCCTGGGCCAGGACTCCTCCTGCCTCCCCCTTTCCCATTCTTGTTCCTCCCTCTGCCTCAGTCTTCTCACCCGCAAATGGGGCAAAGATAAGCTGAACTGAAGGTGCCTTAAGGTGATGAGGCTTCGGGGGTGGGGGTAGCAGGTGTGGGCAGTGCCTGGGAACAGTCAGCCCAGCCTGATGCCTGCAAGGCCCATGGGTGAACCTGCTCATCCCAGGGTTGGCAGGAAGTGGGCAGACCTGTGCCTGTAGGAGGGTTGGCACTGCCTACCCTGCACTTGGTCGATGGGACCCTTTCATCTACGGATCCCTGATTACAACAGATTCCCAGTCCTGACTCAGCAAGCAGAAGGCAGGGCCGGTTATGCATCCCTCCCCCCCACCACCCCGGCAATAATAGCAGGTGGTGGTGGTTCAGGGGCTCAGGGGCCACCACAGGGGAAAGTAGGTGGCTGCTGAGGTGGGGCAGGGGCCTGAGTTGGGGGATGAGGAGCTGGTGGAGACCAGGGAGGGGGAGCTCCAAGGAGGCTGCAGTCTTGGGCACCAGGGACACCCCAGTCTGTCCATCACCTGGACTGGTGGCATCAGGGAGCCATGAGGCTACCACAGGGTGAAGTCATAGGATGGCTTTGGTAAATGAGGGGCTTCCTGGCGGGGGATCCATGGGACACTGATTCCAGGAGACGTCCACAGGTTCGCTAGGTTTGGGTGGAGCAGCAGGCTTTCCCTCTCCTATGGGAGTCCCCAGTACGCATCGCTGCTCTAAAGGCTCTGAGAAGTCCTGCAGCCTTGTTACCGTGTCTCAGCCCACACTGAGCACATCCACAGCCCTTGAGGAGCTTAGATCCGAGCGTGGGAAAGGACTGACACAGAGGCCTTGGCCGAAGTGGGAATTCCAGGTTTCACGCAGCATCTCGCAGGTGTCACAAGTCTCCTTAGGGCCCGCCCCACATGCATGCCACCACACCGGACCCTTGGCTGGACCCACAGACTTCTTTGGCAAATATCCTAGCGCCACTCTCTGCAACCCCACTCCAAGCTCTGCCCTGGCCAGGCCCCAAGCGAGCGGCGGAGACGCGGGGAGACTTACAGGGGCAGGGGCGTTTGAAGGACATGTAATCCTTGGAGCAGAACAGCGGAGCCAGCCTGCCCGCGGCACGGCTCTGATTCTCGCAGGGAACGCCCCTCCACTCACCTGCGGAGACACAAACAGGCAGGTGATGGGCTGCCCACGTCCCCTGAGCTGGCAGCCTCTGAGGGTGAGCACAGTGACTTTGAGCACAGGTGTCCAACCAGGGCAAGGACCTGTGGGCCCTCTGGTCTGTAGTCTGGGGCATGGGCTCAGAAGTGGGATGAGTGCGTGCTGGGGTCCCAGTGGCAGGAGGTAGGGGGAAAACCCCTGCAAGATGGGCCATCAGGCAGGAAAATAGGGGCTAGGAGTTCTGGCTGATGAGGCCGTGAACGCCCACTGTCTCAGACTGCTTCCACGGACCACAGCACCCCAAAGCTCTGAATACTGCTGGGGCTGGAAAGACCCTTCAAGACCAGCCCAATGGCCCCATTCGACAGGAGGGAAAACTAAGACACAGAGAGAGTGAGCTCATTCAAGGCCTTACAGCTAGCTCTGGAGGGGTGTTCCTCAACACCTCGCTCAGACACTGATATTATTATGGTCACCCCAACAACTTTAAGAGGAAGCTACCTTTCTCATCCTCACTTTAAAATCAGGAAGTTGAGACTCAGAGAGGTCAGGTAGTTTGCTCAGAGTCACACAGCTTCTAACAATGGGCTGGACCTAGAATCCAGCACTGCTTGGCTGCAAAATGCACTGTGAGAAGGCACCCGATGCAACACAGGCCCCCCCCCCCCCCCATGAACTTGGGAGCTCTCTGGCCACCTTGGGCAGCAAGGGAGCAGCAGCAAGGGACCAAGCTCCCTTGCTGCCCATTCGCAAGGAGGCAACATTATCTAAAAGTAATCCGGATTAATTCAGTCTCTCCTGCGTGGACCCTGGTGATATGAGGTTGTGGGAGGGAGACGGGGCTCTCAGCTCTAAGGGAGTGGGGGCACCTGTTTGACAGGCAGCAAACTGCACCATGAGGCTCGCTGGGCAGGGCCCACCACGCAGAGTGCAGCAGCAGCAGTGCTGTGGGGCTGGTGGCTTCCCAGCTCTGGGCAGGTCACCGCTGTGGACAGGATGTTTTCCGGGGTGGCAGGTTCAGAGGCAGGGACCCCTAGAATGGTGTATTTTTTTCCTCCAAGTGAGTCCCCTGTTTGGACAGAGCCGTGGATGAAGCCAACTGCACTGAGTCACTGGTGAATGAGAGGCATGTCTGCAGTCTGCCACCAAGTCCCATTCACGAATGCTGCTGTCAACTCTGCTGCTTCCTGGGGAGTGCCTTTGGGCCAAGTATGTGCTCTCTGTGCCTCAGCATCCTTCCTAGCAAAGTGACATAAGAGCCCTCAACCTGCTGCAGGCTCGTGGGCTCTGTATGGAGAGCCCCTGGCCTGGGGAGGCTGCCCTGGGAGTCCCTCTCTCCAGGTGTCTCCTGCAGTCCCCTCCTGACACTGCCCCTCCTTCCCTGGTGTCAAGTCTCACCCCCCCCACCCCAACACCCACTCCCAGTCTCCATGGAAACCGATGGATGAGTTCTGACCTGTGGATGCGAGGGTGGGAGGTGATCTCCCAGGCTTGGTAGGCAAGGCTGCTTGGGGAACTGTGATTTCACATAAGAAAATTCTAGAAGCATCGTGGGGCCTGCCATCCACACATTCTAAAAGCACATGTGTCTGCATTCATGCTGGTGGGGGTGCTGTATGTGCACACACATGTGTGTGTCTAGGGAAAGCAGTCAGTCATCCCTTAGGCTGCTCCAGAGAGATCTTCCCTACAGGGAGAGTGGAGCTTGTCACTTCCTTCCTGGAAACCCGTAGCTCTGCGGTGCCCTAGCAATTGTCCTGGCTTCACACCATGACCTCTCCCGCCCTGCGGTGCTGCCTGTCTCTTCAGTGCACATGCTTAGTGAATGCACCCAGAATGTACACCTGGTGCTATGGGGGGTGCTGATGTCCCTCCCCCCTCAAGGGGTTGTCCCCAGGGTCTGCTTCCCCCAGAGGTCCCTGGTCCCTGGTTTCCTTCCACAGGGCCCTGTGACCCTGTGATGAAAGCTGAGGTGTGTGAGAACATCTTTCCATTCTGCAGATGGGAAGACTGAGGCTCAGGGTGATAGCAGGGCCAAGGTCACAGAGAAGAGATGGGGGAAGAGCTTCCGTCTGTCATCATCTCCCCCTCCCTGCCCCAGCACCCCTCCGTGACCACCTGCTGCCCTGGTGCTCTGGCTGGCCAGGTCCTGGTCACACATCTGTTCCCTTCCCCCAGCAAACTCCTACAGAGCTGTCAACGCCCCACTCACAAGTCCTCCCCAGAGAGGTCCTCCTTGACTGCTGCAGGCACAGCGGCCACTGTGGCTGCTTCTGCACCAAGGGACATCCTTCCAGGATGTCTCCGGTCCTGAATCCTTGTAGATCAGGGGCCAACATGGCCTCTGCTGATAGGGCTAAGCCAGCCTCGGCCTGACGCCGATGCGGGACGCTCTGGTGAGGCTGAGGAGCCCTCAGAAGGAACTGAGCTTCTTCTCCCAGATGCCTGTCACCCTGGGTGACAACCAGGCTGACCTCAGCCAGTTCCCTGCACCGTGGGAACAATCAGCACTGGACAGCGCCCCTGCATGCACCCCGGATCACTCACCAAGCACCCACCCTGTGTCCCATGAAACTCAGGCAGCAGGGGCCTTTCAGGTTCCAAACAAGACGCTGGGTTCCCCCCACGCAGTCTGCCCTGCCCCCTCACTGCTGCCTCCATGGCTGGGTCTCAGCGAGGACCCTCATCGGATGCTCCACTTGCATGCAGCTTTGCTGGGACCAGCAAAACTGGGCTGGGGCCCCTGTAGGAGCCAGGCGTCCCTGCCTGGGACCACAGCTGCTGCCAGGACAAGGAGGACAGAGGTCTGGTCCAGAGGGGCCCAGGCTGTGGTTTGCTGGGAGTGGGGGGACCCCGGCTGCGGGAGCCTGGAGGGCTCACCCCTGACGTCACCTCTGCCCTGCCTGCCTCTCTGAGACCAGCACCTGTGGCTCCTTCTTCCCGGTGACTCGTCTGTTTCCCGGACTATCTGGCTGGGAACCTGAGGGTGGGCAGGCGTGCTCTAAGCTTGGAAGCCCCATCAGGCCCCTCCCCTGACGTCCCCACTCCCCGGATGTCTCCACTCTGTGCCCTGTGGTGATGCTCAGACCTGCACAGAGCAGTGTGCAGTTCAGCAGGGGAGCACCTGGGTCTGCTGGTCCCAGTGCCAGGGGATGCTGAGCGTACAACCCCGCTGGTGCAGTTGGACCCAGGAGCCCAGCAGACTCCTGCAGGGAAGGGCTGTGGGAGTGGGCTGGCCTTGGGAATGAGGCCATGTGATGCCTCCTGGTGTGTGCAGTGTCTGCTCAACTGTTGCCAGGTGCTGACAACTCACTGGATCCTCAAAAAGTCCCATTCTACAGGTGGCAACACTGAGACTCAGAAGGAGAAAAGGGACTGATGGGGTAGCAAGTGCTGTGCCCAACACTGCTCCTAGCAGGATCTGAAGCAGGGAATGATGTGGCCAGTGTCCACCTTTTTAGGATGGTCTCCCTGGGCTTGGCATGGAGGCGGGAGGCAGCGGGGCCCGGGAGCCTGTGCTCAGAGGTGATGGGGCTGAGGGAAGGCAACAGAGATGCCAGAGGTGGGGGAGAGGCTGCATTCAGTGGTCCAGGTGTTACTGGAAGGCCCTAGTGGACCAGGTCTGGGTGCTGGGGGGCCGCGATGAGCCTCACTCTGAAGCCCCCGAGCTCAGAGCTTTCCTGCTAGAGGTGCGGATACGGTGGCGATGGCAGGGCTTGTTCCCTGACAGTGTGCGCAAGCAGGGGCAGGTGTGCGGGTGGGGATTGCACATCCAGCCATGGCTGCTGCAGAAGGCCACACTGAGGGGGACCAGAGGAAGCCAGCCAGGTGGGCAGATAGCTGAGGGAGAGAATTCTAGCTAGAGGGAGCAGAGAGTGCAAAGGCCCTGCGGCAGACGCATGCCGGGCAGGTTTGGGGGACAGATGGAACAGATGCAGAGGGTGACGAGGAGGCGAGGGTGACTCCCTGTGTCTGCTTGGGAGATTTGTGGAAAAAGGAGCAACTCCAGTCTAGACAGTGTCCTTGGCACCTCCCACAGTGCCTGGCACACAGGAAGTGCTCAGTGGCTATTTACTGAATGAATGAATGAATGAATGATGTCATCTCACCAGGGCTCCAGAGACTTGTGGGTGTGCATGTGATTCACCCAGAGCCAGGAAGAAGTCAGAAATGCCAGGGCCTTTGGTGGGAAGCACTGACCTCGCAGGAGCGTCAGTCTCCCCAGGGCAAGGGCCGGCTCTGGGGCTGCAGGCCGGCTCTCAAAGCAGCAGGAAGCCTTTCTCCTGGCACAGGCAGGCCTTCAGCAGAGGCTGGGGCTCAGCTGGGGGCTTCCTTAACGGAGAACATTCCTGGGCAAGTGCAGACAAATGACATGAAGTGTGGGAATGAATGAATTCCGCAACGGGGAGAGGAGTGAGAGAACACAGCAAAGCGAGGGGCGGGAGGCGCTGAGGTTTGCAAACAGGTGACTTGCCCTTGCTATTAGCGAAGAGATCCCCTGTGTGCGGGAGCCCCTGCGGCAGGAGGCCCACTGCATCCGGGCACCTCTGGTACCTGCGGCTCCCCTGGGTAGGGCAGGGTATATCAGAAGGTAGCCAGGGCTCCTCCTTGCCTCAGTTTACCTAAAAAGCTTTCTCCAGCTGCACCCTCTCCCCCACCACCACTGCAGGAGGCTGGATTTCTTGTTTAAGTGCCTGAGCCAGTCCCTCTGCGCGCTGGCCAATGGGCCCTGACCAGGGGTAGTAAAGCCTGAGTCAGGGCTCAGAAAATGCCAGAAAGACGCAGATAACCACTGTGAACAGCAGTGAGGCACAGCCTGCAGTCAGGGAGGACAGGCTGAGCAAACGTATGGCCCCCACTTACAGCAGAATGCAGTACAGTTCTGAAAACCATATAAATGGAAAGAAGTTTAACAATGCACTTTCAGTCCAATATTAAGAGGGAAAATCCCACATTATGAAAACAACAGCCAGGTTATGGAACTATGCATTCGGCATAAGCTGTGTTTTGTAAAAAAGGAAAAAGCCCCTACAGCATGCACTCATACCCAGCAGAAGACCAGGAAGGGCACAGAAGAGAGTGTTTAGTCATTGTGTTTCTGGACAGCAGTGGGATGAAGGATTTTTGTGTTCTTTATGATTTTCCAAATTTTCTACAGTGAACACACATTGCTTTTATTATCTGAAAAAAATCACTAAAACGAAGATTTGTAAAAACCTTTTGTGCCAGCAAAATAAAAAGTAATTAAGTGACTAAGTCAGCGACAGTTAACTCATTCAAAGTTTTTAAAGCCGATTTCATTGCCTTTGAAAAGATTTTTCAAAAGCAAATGTGTCTTTGCACTGCCTGATGAGAAACTTTTTTTTTTCTACAGGCAGAGTGGACAGTGAGAGAGAGACAGAGAGAAAGGTCTTCCTTTGCCGTTGGTTCACCCTCCAATAGCTGCCGTGGCTGGCACGCTGCGCTGATCCGATGGCAGGAGCCAGGTACTTATCCTGGTCTCCCATGGGGTGCAGGGCCCAAGTACTTGGGCCATCCTCCACTGCATTCCCTGGCCACAGCAGAGAACTGGCCTGGAAGAGTGGCAACTGGGACAGAATCCGGCGCCCCGACCAGGACTAGAACCCGGTGTGCTGGTACCGCAAGGCGGAGGATTAGCCTAGTGAGCCACGGCACCGGCCAGCCTGATGAGAAGCTTCATGAAAATACTGAAAAAATAATCTGCGTTGTCCTTAGCCCTCATCAGATCATCCCTGTTGCTTGAGCAAGACGTAGGAGCCAAATGTTTGAACCTTAAGGTGTTTACTCAACCCACTGACCTGCTTGGCCATAATAATAACAGACTTTCTGTCTGAAAAACACTTTCAGATTTGCAAAGCACATGAAATGCTGGCATTATTCTAAGCCTGGGGGATATCACAGCCTACCCGTGGGAAGCTTATATTATATGGATGAGGAGACAGAGTAAACAAGGTGTCTAGATGCTGCAGGGAGTAAGTGCTAAGAGAAGAAAGGAGAGAGGGGGAATGGTCACCAGGAAGAGGCTGCTCTCAGATCATTCTGATTAAAATCAGTTTGACGACTGTTTGAATAGAAAAGCACCAAGGCACTTATAAAAACTCTACGCCTATGGACAACGGACGTCCTTGTTCAGTTCTGAGACATAACACGACTGAAGACTTGAAATGACTCGCTCCATGCACCTAAGTTACACTGCGCGAACTCCTTCTAACCCAGTTCCGAGGAGGCACAGTGCGGTTGCAGACAGTCCACACCGAGCGGAGTTCGAAGGCCTCAACCTCTCTGGGTCTCAGTGTTGTCGCCCATGGAATGGGGACACTGAGAGCAGGGATCCGCAGAATTTGAGAGAAGACGCTTCCATTTAGGAAGGCGCACGTGCAGTGCGTACCCACAACGCAGGTGCGGCAGGGCCACCGGCAGAGGTCCGTGCACAGCCTCTCCTCTCGCAACTGTCCCGTGAGGGGTGGGAGAGCCGTTCCCATTTTCAAGAGGAAGCAAAGGCTTGGAAAGGTAAGAATCACCTTCCAAAAGGCGAGGGTGCGCTCCAGACCACCGGCAGTGACCCGGGCAGTCCAACTCCGGGCAGCTGGGCCCCCGCCACAGCCCTGCTCCGCACTCGCTTCTCGCCCAGGGCTCCCGCGGCCCTCTGGCCTCGCTTTCTCCTGCCCTTCACCCGTGCTCCCAGCACTTCTGGGGCCAGAGGAAAGGGCCCTTGGCGGCGTCTGGTCGATGCCTCCCAGACATCATGGGTGATGCCGACATCCCATCACTCTCCGCCTTGGCTGCGTTCCACACGCCATGTGCGCCAGTGGACACCAACCCAATCCGACTGTGATGAATTCCTTTGGGAAGATGTGGGGTGGGGATTATCTGAGATGGAGGGCTGTGACCCCTGAGTGGGTGAATGGGGCGGGGAGGGTGTGAAGGGAGCTACAGAGGAACAAAAGGGGAGGGTGGAAGGAGCCCGGGGAGATAGCCCATGCTGCCGGCTCACGAGCGCCCCCCCTCCCCGCACCACGTGGCCATGTTGCTGCCTTTGGGACCCCTACCTCACGCCCTGTTCCTGGAAGCTGGGCCACAGGTGGCCACGGACTGAAAGTATGGGCTGGACCTTGGCATTCTTCCCACCAACGCTCCTGGTGCCCTGACCTTCCCGGGCATCCGAAGCATCGTGGGCCTCCCTGCTCTGTTCCGGACCTGAAGCCCCAGCAACTCAGACCCCTCCTGGGGACTGCTCCACTCCGAGGTCCTAACCTCCCAGATCTCTCCTGGAGCCTCAGGACCTAGCCACCTGCAGGTGCATGTCACAGTCAGCAAGGAGTCCTGGTTGGGACCCTCAGGCCTCCGGGTGGGCTCCTGCTGCCCCGCGCTGCCTGTCTGAACCCTTCCCCACTGGCACGCCCCAGCCACGTGGCAGCCTGGCCAGCGGCTCCTCAGGGACGGCCATCCTTGCAGTGCCCTCAAACCCGGCCAGCTGTGAGGCGTGCAGATTCCCTCGCACAGAGCATGAACAATGTGTAGGGTGCCCCTGAGGCACCCCCCCACACACACCTTCAGAGGAGCCTTCCCTAGCCCTGGAGGGTGATGGTGGGGCAGATGGCTTCAGAGGAGTGGGCGTCTGAGAAATGGCTGGGCCCCCACAGTTTGGGAGCATGGACAGCACCCTGAAGCGGGGTGGGGGCATTGTGTCCCTACTAGTTCAGAGGCCCTAACTCTGCCCCAGCAACTATGGGTACTGGGCCCCTCCCAGAAGGGCACCTGTGGCCAGCCATCCTTGGGTCTCCCAGGGACACAGTCTCACGTCATCCTCCCAATTCCCTATGTGTTGGATGGGGACACAGAGGCCCAGGGAGGTTGAATGTCTCACCCTGGTCAGCTCAGCAGCAGGGAAGTCAGCCAAGCCCCCCTCCGGATCCCAGAGCCCTTACACACTCTGCTCACACCAGAATCCTGCCCACTTTCCAGCCAGGGGAAACTGAGGCAGCGAGCAGTTAAGTCACTTGTTCCTGCAGAGCAGGCAGGACGTTGGTGGAGGGCAGGGCTCAGAGGGGCTATCCTCTCGGCAGGCGCCCATGGGACTACGTCCTAGATCAAGACCAAGTCCCCGGAGCCCTTGCCTCTCAGGTTTGTGCCCTCCACTTCCCAGCCTGGGGCTGGCCACCCACGCCAGCGCGGGTGGAAGAGGGCAACCCCGGGCCCCCAGAGCAAGCCGGCCTCTGGGCTGCGGGGAGGCCACAGGTCGCGAGAATCGGCCGTGGCCGATTCTGCCCTGCTTGGGACGGCGCCTGGGACAGGGGCTGCCGCTCAGCGCTGCACAGCCAGCAGGGGCCACCTCCGCAGACTCAGCCTGGGTCCCTGACAGCGACCGGGAAAGTCTGCCCCACAGCGGGAGAAGACTCGTGGGGCCGGGGCCGGGGCCGCTCCCGCTCCCACCTTCAGGGCCAAGAAAACGGCTCCCTGGGCACGGAAGCAGGGACCCGGCCGGGGAGAGGCGCCCGTCGGAGGCCAAACTTCCTACCTCAGGGGCTGGGACATGGGTATACGCTCCGAACTCCGCCAAGCCCCCAGCCCCTTTCCTCTCCCTCCCCGGCCTAGCGTGCGCCCTGGTTTCCCCTCCTGGCTGGGATACTCAGGGGTTCCCAAAACCGAGGGCCAAGGGGCGGGGGGCGCTGTCATGGACACCCCCGCCCCCCACGCGGGGTGGATGCCCTCTGGGACTCGAAGCAGGCAGGGGCACCTCCCGTTCCCCGAGGCCCAGGCGTCGGCCCGCGCCGTTCCCAGTGGGCGGCCTGGGGAAGCGGGGGTCAGGGCCCGGGGTCCTCGGGAGTCCTGGGATCCCGCTCCGCTGCGAGCGCGCTGCGGTTCCGCACGAGACCGCGCATCCGCCAGCCGCCCCGCGCGCCGAGCCCCCGCGCCGCGCGCCCCCGAGCCTGTGCGCCCGCTGGTGTCGCCGCAGAGCGCAGGGAAGTCGGCCGGGACCCCTCCCCGCCCCCGCCCCCGCCCCGGCGCCGCCCCCGGCCCCACGCCCCTTACTCGGCTTGGCTGCCGCGCTCCGCTCCGTGCGCCGCAGTGCCGGCTCCAGCTTCGGCTCCCGCTCCGGCTCCAGCTCCAGCTCCAGCTCCGGTTCCCGCTTCGGTTCCCGCTCCGATGCCGCTGCGCTCCGGCTCCGGCTCGGGCTCGGGCGTCGCGGGGGGCGCGCCGCTCCGCCTCGGCCTGCTCAGCGCGCAGGGGCGGGGCGGGGCGGCGAGGCGAGGCGGGGCCGGGCCGAGCGAACCCGCCGCTCGCGATCCCGGGCCGAGGCGGCGGCGGCGGCTTCCCGGGACGCGGGCCCGGCCCCGGCCCTGCCCTGCCGCAGCCGCGCCTGGCCGCCCACGCCACCGTCCCCGGCTCGGGCCTCTCTGCAGCGGCGGTTCGGCTCCCGGGCTCAGCGCCGCTGCGCCTCGGTCGGGGTCATTGCTGAGTCGGGGCCGCGGGCGAGGGGGAGGGCCGAGCCGCGCCCCTCTGCGCACGGCCAGCCCGACACCCACACAGCGGCGGGCGGGGCCGGCCGAGGGCCGCAGGGGGGCCGGCGCGCCAGCCGGACGCGGAGGGGACCGACTGGCGTGCGTAGACAGTGGCACACAGCCCTTCGGGAGCAGCGAAGGACCGACGCCCAGACACGTGCGGAAGAGGGTGTAGAAGCCCGATGTCAGGGAGGGACGGCCAGCTGGACCGAGGCAAGGCTGGCCTTTGGGCGGGGGACGCCTGGCACAGGCAGGGAGCGAAGGGCAGAGTGGAGAGCGGGTGGAGAGCGGGCGGCGGGCGGCGGGCGGGCGGGCGGGCACCGCGTTCTTGGGCCCCTGGGAGGGGCGGCCGATCCTGGCTGAGCCCCAGCACCTAGCGGCTGGCAGGTGAGTTCCGAGGCGCCAGGGTGTCAGCTGGGTCTGTAGCCCTGCCCCTGAGCAACCAGCAGGCCTGTTTCCTGCATCCTTGGCCCTAATCCGTGCGTTCTGGCTCTGGAGCTTAGTCCCAGGCCCGAGGATGTGCCTGGCTTAAGCGAAGGTTCTGGGCTTCCAGGACCTGCTCTGCCTCCACTCTACTCTGGGGCCTTGGGGGGACCCCAGCTCTTCCCCTTCTCTTCATTACCCCGGAGCTCCGTTAATTGCCCCCTGCTCGGTTGTGGGGCTCGATAGTTACCTGTGGCATCATTCATCGAATGCCCCTGCTTGCCTGGGAGTGCAGTGCGGGCAGTGTCTGGGTGGGGTTGCAGGGGCTGCACAGAGTGTGTGTGACCTGGTAGCACGCATTGCTGCCAGCCCACTCCTCACCCCGTTCTTCCTGGTGAAGAACCTGGAGTTTAAAGAGGCAAAGCAGACTCACAACTAAAACCTATAGGCTTGCACCTGGCTGCAGAGGATTTCTGGAAAACAAAACGCGGTGACCAAGAGCTGAACACATTGATGATGAACCTTAGGGAGGCAGAGGGGTCAGGAGGACATCGAGGAAGGGAAGTGAGGTGGGGGGCCTTCAGGGAGGGGGCGGAACCGCAGGCTCTGGGGTGGGCGGGGCGGGGAGGGGAATCAAACCTATTGCAGCCCTAGCCCTGTGACTCCCTGGGTCTGGGGCTTCCCTGGGCAGAGGCCTGGGGAGCTGCTCTGTCCAGGGTCTCTGAAGATGAGGCCACCTCCCGGTGCCTGCTCACTCTGGGCCCCTCCTGCGACTGGGAGGGGTTCCTATCCAGATGGGGCTGCTCCAGTTCTGTCTGGGGCTGCCATGGGGGCCAGAACAAGGTCCTGAGAAAGGCGACGTGTGCTTATTTCCTGGATGAACAGATGGAGGCCCAGAGAAAGGAGGGGACAGGATTGCAGGCTCTCAGACTCCTAGACCAGGGCCATACCCGCTGCACCGCCCTGCTGATGGTGACCTTGGTCTCCCTGAGCAGACACCTGCTGATCTGCACAGATGGATAGTCTAGTTGTTGGGTGGTTTTACCTGTAAGCCGTGCCCTGTGGCAGCACCGTGTGGGTGTGCTTTGTGGTGGTGACGGTGCAGGTGTGGCTCACCTGGTGTGAGTCCTGGTTGAAGGCTCCAATCCTAAAGAGTTCATTCCCCTCACCACTCCTTGAGAATCACTGCTCTAGAAATGTGGCTTGTTCTGGTTTCCAGTGGGCCTCAGGGTGTTGGTCTAGATGTGGGCTGTTGGGTCACACCTGTTTGTCCCCATCTCACTAACTGTGGGCAAACACATCTTAGTGTAGGGCACTTGGAAAACCCCAAAGGAGAAAGAAAATAGCAACTAACCGTGATTAATTTCTTAATTGAACAAAGCTTCTTCTTGTGTTTCTGCAAGTTGTCCTCAAATGGAGTGAGCTTGCTTAGTATGACCGCTCTTCCTCTCTCGCGCACCCTCCGTGGCTGCGTGCTATCAGACGGCTGTACTGTGTTTTACTTAGACAATCCCCTGTTGCTGGGCACTTAGTTTACTTGAACTTTTCATACTTCTGAACAGCACCACAGTGGACACCACTGTGGGTAAGTGTGTGCGTGCCCACGATTACTGTTTCAGTGGGCGCATCTGTATTTTTTGAGGTCCTCTTCTGTAGGGGCTCAGGGTTGCAGGAAGGGCACCCCCTTGGCCTCAGGGAAGCACGATGGTGCCCAGTGTCTGCTTGGCCGAGGGCCGAGTGGGGAGTTGGAGGAGGAAGCCTTTGGGAAGTCACAGGGCCATGGTGTGTTCAAGTGGATGCCCCCAAGTTCAAGTGCTGGAAACTGCACCCCGACTGCAGTGAGAAGTAGGATCTCTAAGAGGTGAGCAATGGATTCACTTAGTTCCCACAGGAGTGGTTACTGCCAGAGTGGGTTCCTTACAGAAGGATGAGTTTGGCCCCTTTCTGGCATGCTGTCACCCATGTGATGCCTTGTGACATGTGACACAGCAGTAACATGCAGTCCCTTGATCTTGGATTTTCAGCCCCTGGAACTGTGGATCAAATGCATTTCTGTTGTTATCGCTTACCCAGTTGGCTGTGTTCTGTTACAGCGGTGCGAGGCAGGTGACATCTCAAGACAGGTGCCCTGGGACCCCCCCAAGTGCTGGGCTCTGGGGACTTCCTCAGAGTGGGCTTTGTGTCACTCTAGTCACTCACAGGGAATCCCAAGGGACATCCTTTCTGATTGTAAGGGATGGAGCCCAGGATGTCGTCCACCCCAAACAGAGCCGCTGGGGCACAGGCATTGGAGGGTCCTGCTTGGTCTGTTCTCCTTCCATCCCTTCTCCCTTTAAGTCTCTTTGCCACGCTGCCTCACACCTCCCTAACATGGTGGTTAATTTATCCATTTCATTGTGTGTGGGGGAATCTGACCTCCTGGATGGGAGACTGCCTGTTTTACCTTTCTGGAAGGTCACCTGTTGCTGGTGTATCCCTTCCACAGAAGGACGGCAAACCTTTCTTCCCAGCCAAGCATCCCGTCACAAAGGACCTGGTTCTCCATGTTGCTTGCGTAAGAGGTAGAGAGCACCCCACACCCTAAAGAGGGAGGCAGGAAAATCTGCCCCGGCAGCATGGGGAGGACTTTTCTTCTTTCTGTCTGCTTTTTCCTGCAAGTCTCCTTGCATGTGTCTTGGGGGTGCTGAGGGAAGACGCAGGAGAGATCTTGGTTCATGCTTGGGGGAAGGTCAGGGAGCAGAGGGGGCAGCTGGGGCAAGGAGAGGCAGCCCAGGGTGTGGGGCCGTATCTGGAATGCCTGGGGTGTCTCCTAGCACTTCTCCAGCTGAGAGCTTGCTGCCACTGGCACTCTATAAATCCCTGGGTCCCAAGCCCTTTGTTAGAGCAACAGAAAATGGACCAGGACAGCTCCCACCTATCTAGCCGTGGCAGTCGGCTGCACATTGCTTTAACTGGGATCCCCAGGAGGGCCCCTTGGGAAGGAAGAGGGGTTCATTGCAGCTTGTGGTTTGGGGGCGTGTCCTTCAAGATTGGGTGGCCCCTTTAGTTTGGTGTGTGATGAGGATTATGTGGCCCGCCAGGAAGAAAGGGGGTGCGGAGAGAGAGAGAGACTTTTTTTTTTTTTAAGATTTATTTTATTTATTTGAAAGACAGAGTTACAGAGAGAGGTAGCGACAGAGAGAGAGAGAGGTCTTCCATCCGATGGTTCACTCCCTAGATGGCCGCAACGGCCGGAGCTGTGCTGATCTGAAGCCAGGAGCCGGGAGCTTCCTCCAGGTCTCCCAAGTGGGTGCAGGGACCCAAGGACTTGGGCCACCCTCCACTGCTATCCCAGGCCATGGCAGAGAGCTGGATCTGAAGAGGAGCAGCTGGGACTAGAACCGGCGCCCATATGGGATGCTGGCACTTCAGGCCAGGGCTTTAACCCACTGTGCCACAGCGCTGGCCCCAACTGTTTTTATATAATGAACTCTTTTCTTTTTTGACAATTTTATTTATTTTTATAGAAAACTTTTATTTAATAAATAAAAATTTTGAAAGTACAACTTTTGGATTATAGTGGTTCTTCCCCCCATAACCACCCTCCCACCTGCAAACCATCCCGTCTCCCACTCCCTCTCCCATCCCATTTTTCATTAAGATTCATCTTTAATTATCTTTATATACAGAAGATCAATTCTATGCTAAGCAAAGATTTCAACAGTTTGCACCCACACAGACACACAAAGTATAAAATACTGTTTGAAGACTAGTTTTGCTGTTAATTCACATAGTACAACACATTAAGGACAGAGGTCCTACATGGGGAGCTAGTGCACAGTGACTCCTGCTGTTGATTTAATAATTGACACTCTTATTTACATTAGTAATCACCCAAGGCTCTTGTCATGAACTTTCAAGGCTATAGAAGCCTCTTGAGTTCACAAACTCTGACCTTATTTAGTCAAGGCCATAATCAAAGTAGACGTTCTCTCCTCCCTTCAGAGAAAGGTACCTCCTTCTTTGATAGCCCATTCTTTCCACTGGGATCTCATTCACAGAGATCTTTCATTTAGGTCATTTTTTGCCACAGTATCTTGGCTTTCCATGCCTGAAATGCTCTCATGGGCTTTTTAGCCAGATCTGAATGCCTTAAAGGCTGATTCTGAGGCCAGAGTGCTGTTTAGGACATCTGTCATTCTATGAGTCTGCTGTGTATCCCGCTTCCCATGTTGGACCATTCTCTCCTTTTTAATTCTATCAATTATTATTATCAGACACTGGTATTATTGTGACCCCTTTGACACTTAATCCTATCTTTATGATCAGTTATGAAATTAAACTGATCACTTTAACTAGTGAGATGGCATTAGTACCTGCCAACTTAATGGGATTTGGATTCACATGGCAAGTTTTTAGCTTTACCCTTAGGGGTAAGTCCAAGGGAGTGTGTGCCAAATTGTATATCTCCTTTTTAACTGGGATCAATTTTAAGTTGGATTTAAACACCTAAGGATAATTCTGTGTTAATTAAAGAGTTCAACCAATAGTATTAAGTAGAAAAAGAAAACACTAAAAAGAATAAAATAATAAACTGTTCTTCAACAGTCAGGACAAGGGCTGATCAAGTTACTGCTTCTCATAGTGTCAGTTTCACTTCTATAGGTTTCCTTTTTCCTTTCTCACCCATCAGGGAGAACATATGATATTCATCCCTTTGGGACTGGCTTATTTCACTCAGCAAGATGTTTTCCAGATTCCTCCATTTTGTTGCAAAT